CTGGGCTGGCTGTGTGCAACGCAGGTGCCTTACCCACTGCACCATCTCTGACACATACCCTCTAATTTGTAGGAAAGGTCTAGTACAAGGATCCCAAGAAAGTCTTTTTTCTCAGCCAGATTCTCTATGTTTTTACATTCTGCCTCATTTGCTTTACAATCTTCCACCTCCATAAATGACAGGTGGTTCCCACCCCCGCCCCCCCCATCATTTAAAAGAAAATTGGTAACATTATGCCCCTTCTCCCCTAAATTCTTCTAAGACCCAGGATAGCACAGCACATGACCTACCTTTTTTAAAAGATGAAACACATAACCTCTCATCAGAATTTTCAATTTTTGAGTAAACATTGATGATAATCATTATGATAATTAATTATGATCCATGAAAATAATTTTTGGTTTGTTTTGCTTTGGGAACACTGGGGCCACATCAGGGCTTTCTCCTGTCTCTGAATTCAGGGATCACTCCTGGAAGGACTCCAGGACCGTATGGGGTGCTTGCCAAAATCTAGATTGGCTGCATGCAAGGCAAGCACTTTTAACTCCTGTACTATCTCTTCATCTATTATGTAACTTTGTTACACCTCTGTATGCACCAGATTTGAAATTCATGTAGAAAGAAAATTTCTTTCTAACTTTCACATTTCCCATTACTAAGAGTTTTCCTGAGGGGCCTGAGCTTAGTACAGCCAAGCGGGCAGCTCGCCTACCTTCTACCTGGAAGACTTGGGGTGATTGAGCACTGAGTGCAGAGCCAGGAGTAAGCCCTGAGTTTTGCAGGGTGTAGCCAGATAACAATAATAACCAGAACAATAATACACTCCCCCAATAACAAAAAAAGAATAGCCCCATGTTTTTTATACCAATTAAATTTTTTTTTTTTCGGAGGGGTGGGTCATACCTATGCTGAGATTCCTCTCACAATGCTGAAAGGACCTTATGAGGTAGAGAGGATTATTGAACTAATGCCAGTTGCATGCAAATAAGTGCCTTAACTCTGAGTCTATCTCTCTGGCCTTCCCTTAAAAATTCACACATGTGTGTACATGTGTGTATATACATACATCCATATACATACATATCTTGGGACCACAAATAAGTGCCTTAACTCTGAGTCTATCTCTCTGGCCTTCCTTTAAAAATACACACGTGTATGTACATGTGTGTATATACATACATCCATATACATACATATCTTGGGACCACACCCAATGATGCTCAGGGCTTATTCCTGGCTCTGTTTAGAGATGACTCCTAGTGGGGCTTGGGGGACCATATGAAGTGGTGGGGAACACACAGGGTCTACTGCATGCACTGCAAGCATCCCATTTGCTGTTCTATCTCTCCAGCCTCCACAAAGCAAACTATTTATCACAACAGACAGTTTCTGAAGATCCAGACCCTTGCCTACTCAATCGCAGATTCCAACACTTGTATCTCAATGTATTCCAGGTCCATGAAATATTCTCTGTGTGCTTCAGGAAACTCAGGCCAAGTGAGTGATTCCTGGTTCATGCCCAGGGCAACTCCAGTGGTCTCCACATTCACGTGGCCAAGGTGGACCCACTGAGCTAGCTCCTCTGCAAATGCACAGTATGTACTCAGGGATCACTCTTTGTGAGCTCAGGGCACCATACGGGGTGTCATGGTTTAAACCTGGGTCACCTGAAAGTGCCCTATCTGTTGTACTATCGCTCTGTTCCCTGTTTTAGTTTGTATTTGTTTTAGTTTGTTTGGTTTTTGGGTCACAGCAGGTGATGCTCAGGGGTTACTCCAGGCTCTGCACTGAGGAATTACTCCTGGGGTTGTTTGGGGGCATCATATGGGATGGCAAACCTGGCTGGGTCTCAGGTCAGCAAGCACCCTACCCCCTATACTATAATATTGCTCTGGCCCCAGTTTTTATCTATTCTTTTTTTTTTTCTTTTTGGGTCACATTCAGCAATGCACAGGGATTACTCCTGGCTCTGCACTCAGGAGTTACTCCTGGCGGTACTCAGGGGACCATATGGGATGCTGGGAATCGAACCCAGGTGGGCTGCATGCAAGGCAAACACCCTACCCTCTGTGCTATCACTCCAGCCCCAATTTTTATCTATTCTTAAAGTTATTTAAATTGATTGAGATCCTGTGATTTACAATACTGTTAATGATGATTTCTCACGCACATAATTCCAACGACACACCCATCAGTAGTACATTCACCTCCCTCCCCCAAGGGAAAAAAATTTTTTTTAATTATTAATTTCTCTTTTGGGCCCACACCCATACTTGGGCCTTCCTCTGGTGCTGTGCTCAGGGCTCACTCCTGGCCCTGCTCAAAGGACCATCTGTAGTTCTGCACCAGCCACTTGTAGGGTTCAAGCCCTACACACTGCCCACCCACTTCCCCCCATAAAAGCAAACCAGCAACTCCTGGTGGTGGCACACCTATCTCAGGCCAGGTAGCAGGGCCTGGCTCATGTGTCAGGAAGCAGACTCAGCAGCTCTCCTGAGGAGCTCAGGTTCGTTTTCATTCCTCTGCAAATCTACCCTCGATAGTGGGGGAATAGGCCATGGTCCCCTTGAAAGGCATTCACCTTTCTGCGCGCGCGCGCACACACACACAAACACAAACACACAACACACACACACACACACCCCAATTATTTTTGAGAGATCTCCCCAGCTGTGTTCAGGGAGCTGAGGTTATCCCTGGGGACATTTAGCCTTGCTGGGTGAGCCTGATGCTTCCGTGTGCAGGCTGGTGCTTGATGTTGCTGGGGCCCCTACACACATGCTGGGGTTAGGGGCATGCCACGTCTGGGAGGTACGTTAGGTGCTCCAGTTCTTTGAGCTGTCTCTGTGTCTCTGGACCCCAGTTTTGTTTTGGGGTAACATCCAGTAGTTCTGCAGGATTCATAAAGTACCAGGGATTAGACCTGGGTCTCCTACAAAGTCTATACTCTGTAAGTTGATATATCTCTCAACTGGACACTAATTGTAGGTGTCAGTTCCAGGGGTCTAGGTCCTGCTGCTCATTCACAGTTCACAGGAGGTCCCTGCTGACTATGCATGGAACAGGCCCATTTTCACTTATTTATCTCCTTACTCTCTCCTGGGGGTGCCAAGGGACAAGAAGTTCTGCCCAAGTTTGGAAAATTTTGCATCTTCCAAAGAATGTGCCATTTATTTATCTGCAAGTACCTGGGCAAGAGATGAAAGGAGAGACCTTTGTGGTTTTTCTCAGAGGGCTGCAGCCAGCAGGTAGGAAACCTGTGCTCATTCATTCATTCATTCATTCATTCAATGCAGCGATACTGAACTGCTGGAAGTAGTCTGGAACCAGGCATGACTTCTGCCTGAAAGGAAAGAGAGTCTACAGTATGTGTGCAACAAGAAAACAACATACACTAGATCTGCAAAAGGTGATTTTATGTTCTTGTTGTTTTTGGACCATACTCTGCAGTGCTGAGGGATCACTCCTGGCAGAGATCTGGGGACCATATTATTACCAAGGCAAGTGCCCTACCTGCTGTACTATCTCTCAAGAGAGTGAAATAGGCAGGGGGGTGGGGTGGGGAGACACACACAGAGAGAGAGAGAGAGAGAGAGAGAGAGAGAGAGAGAGAGAGAGAGAGAGAGAGCGCAGAGGTGGTGCAGGGGAGAGGCTCAGGAAAAGCCTTTCCAGGTGACCTTTGGGGAAACAAACAAGTGTGAGGAATAAGCCCTATGAGGGTGGGCAAAGAAAGGCCCAGGGACTCCATGATGGAGGGTGGGAAGAGAGGAGGCGAGGGGAAGGAGGGAAGAGAGAGGAGTGCAAGACAGGTGTGGCCTCCCCCAAATCTTCCATCATCTTCACTCGTTCTTTCAAACACCTACGAGGGGGCCTGAGCTTGTGCAGGAGTTCGGGTGCTTGCCTTGCACATGGCCAACCTGCGGTCTGATCCACACATGGTGCCCCCAGCTCCGCCAGGAGTGATTCCTGAGCACAGAGGTAGGAGTAAGCCCAGAGCACAGGCCAGGTGGCCCCCAAATAAGAGACAACTCTGGGGCATCCAGTGGGTGCTAAGCCACGTGGTGACCTTCCCAGTCCAGCTCAGGTGGAGACAGGTAGTACACAGACACCGAGGGGCAGCCGCCAGGAGCTAGCTGCGTGGTCACCATCCGGAAGGGCAGGGCTATTTCCAAGAGCCCCTCGAAGGGCAGCGGGGGAGGGGGGCATCAGAGGGGGCCCCACTCTCATACCCGCTCTGCCAGGAGCCCCACTTCCTCCGCGCTCCCCTCCCCTCCCAGGGCTGCGCAAGGCCAAGCAGGGTGGACGGAAGGTCTGTTGCAGGGTCCGGGGAGGAAGGTGGGGAGAAAGAGGAGGCCCAGGGTGTCACTCGTGGGGGCGGCCAGCCGGGCAGGGCGCGCGGGGTGGGGGGAGGGTCTGTGGTCGGGGTGGGGGCCGCGGAAGAGGGGCGGGGGGCGCGATGGGGCCCGGTGCGCGCTCCCCCGCGGGGCAGCGCGGAGCCCGGGAGCTGGGGGGCGCGGAGGCGGCGCCGGTGGAGGAGGGGCGGAGGGGAGGCTCCGGAGTGATTTCAAATTTCCCTCGTCCCCTCCCCGCGGCCGCCCCCCCGCCCCGGGCCGGGCGCTGAGTGGCTGCGGCGGGGGCGCCCCCGGGCGGGGGCGGGGCGAGCGCGGGGCCGGGGTTACAAGGGGCCTCGGCACCGCCCCCTCCCCACCCTCTCGCGCTGCCCCGTCCGGCCCGCGCCGCCGCTTCCTCGCAGCAGCCGCCCCCCCAGGCCGGCCCGGCGGCCGCCGCCCCGCGTGGACGCGCGCCCAGCGGCCCCCCTCGACGGACGCCCCCCGCGCCACCGCCCCCTCCAGACCCCGCCGCGGGCCGCCGCCGGGCGAGCCGGGCAGCCGCGCCCCGCCGGCAGCGCGGGGGTTAAGGGGCTCAAGTAAACGTAGCCGGGCGATCGGCGCCGGAGATTCGCGAGCCCGCGCGCCGGTCCGAGCGTCCGTCCGTCCGTCCGAGCCTCCGTCCGGCCCGAGCCGCGGCCGCAGCGCCCGCGCCAGGTGAGCGCGCGGGCCCCGGGGGGCGCCGGGGGGAGCGCGGGGGCGCCAGCGCGCGCGGGGACCTCGGGGGACGCGGCCGCCGTCTGGCCGCGGCGGGAGGGTCCTGCACGCCCAGGGGAGGGGAGCGTCCCCGGCCAATGGGGGGCAGCGCGCTGCGGGGACAGTGGGCGGGGTGGACGGGACGAGCCTGGCGGGACACGAGTGGAGGGACGCGGAGGCGCGGGGAGGAGGGGGAGGAGGAGGGGTGCGCCTTCTTCTCCCCCGGGTCTCAGGGACGCACCGAGCGCGCGGGGTTTGCAGCTGGGGCGGGAAGCGGGGGTCTTGGTACCTGGCCGTGGCGTGGGAGGGACCCTGGGGACCCGGGGGTCGGGGGCGCTGGGCAGCGGAGACTTCTCTTGCAGTGCTTGCACTTGGTGGCGCCGCCGACGGATATTTAAAACAATTTTTTTAAAATTCTTTAAATTAGTGGCTGTGGGCGCGGGCGCAGCAGGTAGGGCTGCGCGCGGGGGGCGCGCCCCGGACTCAGACGGCTAAAGGGCTCCGGGGGCGCCGCCCGCTACCTGCGCACACCTGGCTGGGAAGGGGCCGGGCCCGGGTGACGCCGCCCAGCCGCGGCCACGCTGCCTCGCCCCAGGGCTCACTTTCCATTTTAATCTTCCGCCGCCCAGGCTGCCCCCACTCTCCCAACGCGCACACTGAGGGCCGCTGCTCGCCCGCAGCTGGACCTCGAGGGCAGGTCTTCACCCTCCGTTCAGGTGAAGGGGGCCTGGCGGCCCGGGCCCAGGTTTTCCTGCCTTCTAGTCCCTCACCTGCAGCAGGGAAGGGCCGCAGGAGCTCGCAGCCCAGCCCCGGGTCTGTGCTAACATCTTCACCTGCTTCGTGAGCACAATTTGGGGGTGCGGGGGGACACTCCCATCCCCGGGACCCCCAGCCTAAACTTGTACCGAGCAAAGCTATTTAAGGATTGCGTGAACGTCCACCTGTCTCCTGATTTCTGTGGGTATGGGGCAGTTGCAGACCCTCCCAGGACCCCCATGGAGGATGCTGTGCTCGGCCTCGGCGCCCCCCCTGGCACCCGGCACCCAGTCGGCCCGAGCGCAGGTTTGAATGTTGCAGCGCCCAGGTGGCGGCGTGGAGGCGACCGGGAGTCCCATCCGTGGTCTGGGAGCACGTGGCCTGGGCCCCAGCGCTGTGCCAGCCTCGCGGGGGATGTGTCGGGCTTCGGTGGGAGATTAAATCTGTTCTGCCCACGCCACTGCCTTCTCCCTCAGGTTAATGCCTCTTTCTCATAAACAGCCCGGACAGCTGCAGGTTAGGCAAGCGGGAAAACAGTGTCATGCGTCATGTACTCTGAACCCCCACGTCCCTTCCGCGTGCTTCCTAGTAGCCCCTACCAGCCTATGCCCAGGTAAGGACTCAGAAGCAGGGGGCCTTCATAAGGTCGGCAGCTCTGACTGATTGTGGTGTTCACCGGATCAACCCTCTTTAGCCGTGAACAAAAACTGCGGGTGAAGGGAGTTTCAGCTTGAAGACCGGAGATGTGAACCCCACCTATACTGCCCTCCTTCCCCAGGCTACTCTTCTATTATGGAAAGGTTTTCAAATTGTTGTCCTGTGTCATGTTTGGGAGTTGGCAGGGAGGAAAGCCTTTGTTCCCCTTTGAAAGGAACCGTGTTATTTGCTTTGGGAGTTTGGGGCAGTTTTTATATAAAAACCCCACCTCCCCCGAGCTTGGGGCCTACCTTGAAGGTGTAATGGCAACTGTGAGAGACGGTTTTTTCTTATTTATTTGTCTTTCTGCTTTTTGGGTCACACCCGGTGGTGCTCAGGGTTTACTCCTGGCCCATACACTCAGGAATTACTCCTGGCTGTGCTTGGGGGACCATATGGGATGCTGGGGATGGTACCCAGGTTGACCTTGTGCAAGGCAAACGCCCTACCTGTTGTGCTATAGCTTCAGCCCCTGTGAAAGTTGTTTGATGTTTCCCTGCTAGGAGTGGACAGAGAGCTGAGACCAAGAGGTCAGGGCTGCTGACTGACCTCCAGTTCCCCAAAAATGCTCTACAGCGCCATATTTATTTATTTATCACTATTTGGACCCCACCTGGAGGCACTTGCTCAGGGGCCACTCCTGGCTCTGCACTCAGGAATTACTCCTGGCGGTGCTCCAGGGAACATATAGGTGCCTGGGATTGAACCCGGGTTGGCCACATGCAAGGCAAACATTCTACCCGCTGTGCTATTGCTCCAGCTGCGGAGAATTTTTTTCTTACAGCCGCCATAGCTGTGCTGTCAGGGCCCAGGGCAGCTGAGCACTGGAGCAGAGCCCCTCGGGCCTCACTGTGCTCTCCCTTCTTGGGATTTAGGAGCCTTTCCTAAGGAAGAGCTCTCCTGGTATCTAAGGAGTGCTCGGGAACCAATTCAGGTCTTGCCTTTTCAAGGCGAACTCCCTTCCCCCAAGACCACACTGAGAAGGTAGGGAAGAGGGGGGGCAATCGGGTGGGCGGGGCACAGGGGAGGAGGAGGAGGGGGGAAGCTGCTTCCCCTCCAGCCATGTGGCCTGTGAGCCAGACACCTCATTGATTCCCCCCCCCCAGGAACCTGCTTCCAACGGGCATTTGGGCTGGTTCTCCTAGGAGGATTCTGGGTTCCCTTGTCCCAGTCCCCAGGCCAGCTGTGCCTACTTGAGGCTTTTGTGGTAGTCCTTGAGCTAAGTGCCACCCTGTGGCCTGTGCTCACCTCCTCAGCATTCTCAGATTCTGTGGGTTTTTTTTTTTTTACCCAGCAATGCACAGGGCTTTATTCCTGGCTCTGCACTCAGGAATTACTCCTGGCGGCGCTCAGGGGACCATATGGGATACTGGGTACTGGGAATCGAACTCAGGTCGCTGCATGCAAGGCAAACGCCCTCCCCGCTGTGCTATGGCTCCAGCCCCCAGATTCTTTGTTTTTAAGTCCTAAATGCAGGGCCTTTCTGCTTCTGGTTTTTTTTTTTTTTTGCTTTTTTGGGTCACACCCGGCAATGCACAGGAGTTACACCTGGTTCATACACTCAGGAATCACTCCTGGCGGTGCTAGGGGGACCATATGGGATGCTGGGAATCGAACCTGGGTCCGCCATGTGCAAGGCAAATGCCCTACCCACTGTGCTATTGCTCGAGCCCAGGGCCTTTCTGCTTCTGGAGGGAGCTGGGAAAGAGACTTCCCTTTTCCTAGTAGGCCTTCCACATTGAAAAGGGACAAGGGGGGTGGGAGGGGGGGTGTTGTCCCTTTAGAAGGGGTGGATCTTCCTTAACATCTCCCTTTGCAGCTAATGGAAGGAGAATCAGTCGTTTTGACCGCAGCTTCCATACCTGGATAACTTATACTTGCTAAAGAGAAGTGTCCAGTGCAGAATTTCCGGGGCTTGCATCTCTGCCCTAGGCTCTGGGAGTGGCCTGCTTCCTGCAGAAGGACCCCCCCCCCCCCCGTCCCTCCCTCTAGGACTGCTGTGTAGAGGACAGGCTTGCTGCAGATTCTGCTGCTTTCTGCCACGTGGGTACCCTGCCCTGTGCACCTGCCATGCGGGTACCCTGCCCTGTGCATATTGGGAAACACCCTAATTCCACAAACCTACTTGCCCAAGTGGGCAAAGGAATTAGGTGGAGGGTCAAGAGTTTGTAGAAAGCAAGTTTCTGTCTGACTGAGGCTGTAGGGATCTGGGTTTTATTTTATTTTGATTTTGGCCACACCTGGCTGTGGTTGTGCTTTAGGGCTGATTCCTAACTCTGTTCGGATCATGGTGGGGGTCGTGGGACCATCAATGGTGTTGGATCTAACCAGGGTCTACTGTGTGCTGCAAGGCAAGCGCTCTACTGTGGCTCCAGCCTCAGGGATTGGGATATTTCATTAGATGACTTTCACTGTGTTTGATGAGAAAAGCAAAGGAAAGATTCCGTGTTCTGACAGAGAGGGAGCTTTGAGCACTTGACCATCACAACCTCAGGTATTACTTTCACTCGAGTCTCTCTCTCTCTCTCTCTCTCTCTCTCTCGGGTGGTTGGCACATGTTGCTGTGCTCAGGGCTTACTCCTGGCTCAGGATCACCCTGGCAGTGCTCTGGGGACCATATGGGGTGCCTGGGATAAAACCCAGGTTAGCAGTGCATGTAGCAAATAAATACTTTACCCATTGTGTACCACCCGGCCCCCGAGGTCTGTTCATTTCTTGTAGAAACAGATTGTCCATTCCAGGCCAGGAGAGTTCTTAGGAAAGGCTCAAGAGCCCCAGGGAGGGAGAGCACAGTGAGACTCCATGGGCCCCCATCCCAGAGCTTGGCTGCTCTGGGCCCTGACGGCACAGCTTGGCTGTAGGGGAAGATTCTCTGGCATCTGCCCAGCAGTGGATTTATACTGGTCGGCCTGACCTACCTTAGGTTGCCTTCATGCATTCCAACATCTCAGATTCTGCCCCCCCCCATCCTTCCCCTGTGATCTCCCTCCTTATCTCCAAGGTCCCCATCAGCTGTTCTGGTTTGTGGGTTGGGGATCTGATTTTCTTTCTTTGTTTTTTTTTTTTTTTTTTGCTTTTTGGATAGCACCCAGTGATGCTCGGGGGTTATTCCTGGCTCTGCACTCAGGAATTACTCCTGACGGTGCTTGGGGGACCATCTGGGATGGCAGGGATCGAACCCAGGTCGGCCGCGTGCAAGGCAAATGCCCTACCAGCTGTTCTATCGCTCTGGTGGGGATCTGATTTAAAAACCTTTCAGAAAAATGTTCTTAGACAACCTGAGAAATTTGTTGAACAGTAGCCATGGAAAGATGATGAGTAGGAAATAGGAACCGCATGGCCAGGGATGTGGGGCGGGAGAATGAACAGCAGTTGTCAATGGGAAAAACCAAGAATTTTTATCCTTTGGAAACAGGTTCTGACTCGGTGAGAGGAGCTGGGGGAAGAGAGAAAGGCTGGACTTGGTGAGTGAGGCCTCTCCTGAGCTGTTGAGGCTAGTGTTGCTTTTC